CGACAGAAGCCACGAGCCGACGGCAGCTGGGTCTAACAAACTAGCAGCTGGGCTAGTGGAGCACACAACAGAGGAGAGAGGAAGAGGAAGAAGGATGGACCACACAAAGGCGCACGGAGACGTGCGCAGTCGGGCGGCGGAATCGAAGTGAAGCCCCAAAGGCTCCAAGTGACCCGACCCGTGATATCGTATATTACGAGAGGGGCACACTAGCTGCGACACAAACTCCTACAGTGGCAAAACCCTCATACTTGATATGAGGGGAAAAAGCCTACTGACGGTGGAAACAGCCAATGACGTGGCAGAGGCTGGAGAAAACCACCGAAAACCAACGAAGAGTCGGACGTCTTCGAGTCGGCGATCCCAACGTTTGCAGTTGCGATCTTGACAGCCTCCCCAAGTGCAAATGTGGGGGAAGCCGGCTCGTAGGTACGAGGCTGAGTGATGAGGACCATGAGGTCCACAAACCGTCACACGTGAGGTGACTGCTCCCATGCGTAATGGGGCAGAAAAGATGACTCGTCAAAACCGTGGGACCACCAGCCTCCCTGGAGAACATGGTGTCGAGGCACGGAGGTCGAGAGACCAAGAGACGGAAAAAGGAAAAAAAAGAAAAAAGGGCGAAGAACAGAAAACACAACGCACAAAGGTGACCCAGAGATGGTGTCACAAGAAAAACGCACAGACATATAGGCAGACCAACGCAGGAAGCGTTTAACGGCGCGGAGCCGCGGTCGTGTCGGTCGCATGAGTACCGACGCCAAGGCGCTCACGAAGGTACCGGAACTGGTCCTTGGGAAGAGCCTTCGTGAAAATGTCGGCGATTTGTTGTTGCGAAGGGCAGTAGACCACTTCGAAGACCTGAGCTTCAACGAGCTCTTTGACGAAGAAATGCTTGACGTCAATGTGCTTGGTACGCCCATGAAACGCAGGGTTCTTGGCGATTTTGATGGTGCTGAGGTTGTCCTCGTGGATCGGGATGGGATCCTTGAGGTCGTAACCCAGGTCGAGGAGGAGGTACTTTAGGTACAAGCCTTCCTGGAGGCAGCTAGCGAGAGCTGTGTACTCCGCCTCGGTAGTAGAGAGAGCAACCGTGGGTTGCTTCTTGGCGAGCCACGAAATGGGGCTGCCATAGAACAGGGTGAAATAACCGCTGATGCAACGACGAGTGTCGATGCACTTGGCGTAGTCAGCGTCGACGTATGCCTCGAGTGCAGGAGATGAACTCGCAGAGAGGCCACCAAGGGTAAGGCCCATGGTGCGTGTACCGCGGAGGTACGCGAGAACGTGTTGCACGGCACGGTAGTGGCCAAGTGCAGGACTATTCAAGTACTGGCTAAGCTGTTGGACAGCATGAGCCAGGTCCGGGCGAGTGCCAAGTACGAGGTACATGAGCGAGCCAACGGCGGACCGATATGGAATGTACGTCGCAAGCGTAGCGACCCGCTTCGGGTCCGAGTCCTTGTTGACGGACGATAGGTCCTGGTTCGGTTCTAGTGGCGTAGGAGCCCAGTGGCCTTCGAGACAGTTGTACCGGGCGAGAAGCTCCGAGATGTACTTTGTCTGATGGATGAAGATGGTGCGGTTGCGGCGATCACGGATGATCTGCCAGCCAAGGATGAAGGCGACATCACCAAGGTCGCTCATCTGGAATTTGGCCTTAAGGACCGCACGAATCTCGTTGGCGATGGCACGCGTGGGTGCAAAAATCAAGAGATCATCGACGTAGAGACTGATGTAGACGAGACGTCCATCGTAGCGCTTGGTGAAGACGCAGCGGTCTTTGCGCGTACGGGTAAACCCGATGGACTCCATGAACTGGACGAAGGTCTCGTACCAGATGCGTGGGCTTTGCTTCAGGCCGTAAAGAGCTCTGAGAAGCTGGCAAAGCAACGATGGATCTGGTGTTGGAATGCCCGAGGGGAGCTTGATGAATATGGCCGGGTCCTCAGGGAGGAGGCCGTTCAGGAACGCTGTTTTCACGTCCATTTGGATGATTTCGTAGTTTTCGAGCGCCGCGATCGTGAAGAGCAAACGGAGTACCTCCATGCGCACGACGGGGCTGAAAATCTCATCGTAGTCGATTCCAGCCTTTTGGCGGAAGCCCTGAACGACGAGACGCGCTTTGTAGCGGTCGATCGAGCCGTCAGCTTTGAGCTTGCGAGTGAACACCCACCGCGTAGGTAGGACAGTCACGGGACCGTTGCGCTGGGCACGGAGCTTCGAGACCATGCGCCACGTGTTGTTGCGAAGGAGAGATTGGTACTCCTCGTGGGCAGCGGCGAGCCAGTGCTCACGCTCATGGCTGCGCATAGCTTCGGCCCATGTGTTGGGTACAGTCTCATCGAGATCGCCATACTCGTCCATGTTGGCGAGAGTCGCATAGCCCGGGACGTCGGTAACGTCGACAGGGTCGTCCGACGTAGAAGTCGAGACGAGTGCCAGTGGAATGACGATTTCAGGTGGCGGAATTGCCACAGGTGCAGTGTGCACTGCAGAAAGAGCGTGCGGCCCGATCATGTCAGACGGAATGTCCTCATCGTCGTAGATGGGCGCAGATTGTGCACGGAAAGGGTTGAGCATCGCCGAAGGCGGCTGAGACTCAGAAAAGTAGACTACGTAAGTAGCAGAGTCGAAAGAGACGCATTTGTAGCGGGTCTGTCGAGGTCGAGTCGCCTCCCAGTTTGCCCACAGCATGTTGGCCTCCCTAATGGAGAGTGGGGGCAAATGGAACGACGTAAACGCCATGTTGTACGTTTCCGTATCGCCGATCTCGTCAACGGACGTGAACCAAGGTACTGGTTCTTGTTGCGTTGAGGGGTCAAGGAGATCGTGGGTGTCTGATTCCTGCGCCACCAGCGGAGGGACCGCTTGGGTGCTATGTAGACCGGAGTCACGCAGCAGACGAGTAGAGCTAACATCCGCAGTAGAGGGCGGAGTCGGATGCGACTGCAACGACGAGGTCGAAGAGTATTGAGAGCCAGCGACGCCAGAGTCGCCACTCGACCGGGGCCAGCGGTCATCCGAGTGGGCGCTCGAGCCTGGATGTCTTGCAGACGGAGGACAGGTATCCGGCAGTAGGTCGTGTGTACTTTGCCGCGTCGGCTGAGCCGGGATTGTAGGCGCAGTATCGCCACGAGTATGCGCAGAGATGCTTGCATCCTCCAGGGTTGGTGCGAAGACACTACTGCCAGGCTCCGCGGGACTAGGAGTCGACCGAACGGAAGGTTGACCTGGTGGTGCTTGCACGCCCTGAGGCATCGCGGAGACATATCGCATAGCGTCAACAACGGGTGCATCCCGCGGACGGACCGCTAAAGGTAGGGCCTGTTGCGCCGCTCCTGGTTGAGCCGCTTCCAAGGTCATGGGTGCCAAGGAAGTGGTCGCAGTCGAGCTAAGGTCATGGACCGAACGCACAGGTGCAGAAGCCGAGTCCGACGACTGGAAAGTCGCGGTCGGGACTGGTGGCGGAAAAGCCACAGTGGCAGGCTTAGGACCATTTGGATGGCCCTGCGACGCATCGGTGGTACGGCGTGCCAAAGCGGCAGCCTCGATCGTCGCGATAGGGTAGAACTCATCTTCACGGAAAATAACGTCGCGACTGTCGATGAGACGATGAGTCTCCGGGACCATCAACTGGAAGCCCTGGCGATTCGGAGGAACGCCAATGTAAATGCAGCGCAAAGCGCGTGCGTCGAGTTTGTCCGAGCGCGCAGGTATTTGCACGTGGACCCAGGCAACACAGCCAAACACACGCAGGTATTGCAGTGTGGGGTGTTCCTTGTGCACCAAGAAGTACGGGGTCTGGCCGCCGTTAGCTTCTGTTGGTGTAATGTTGATGAGGTACGTCGCGTGCTTAAGCGCAACGCCCCACATGAACTTAGGGAGGGCCGCCTCGATGAGCAAAGCGCGGACGCGAGCAAGCGAAGTGCCCATCATGCGTTCAGCGACGCCGTTCTGCTGAGGCGTATAGGCGTTGGAATACACCATGCGAGTGCCATACTTGGCGTGGATGATACGACCAAGCTTCTCATACTCGCGCGCGTTGTCGCCTTGAAGGAGGTGGATGTCAAAGAACTCCGAGTACTCCAGAGCGATAGGCTCCGCGCGGAAAAGAGCGCGCGCTTCAGCGCGAAAAATCTCGTAGATCTTGTAGATGTCAGTACGAGTCTGCAAGAGGTACGTCCACAAGTAGTGGGTCGCTTCGTCGATGAAGACGACAAAGTACGTTGCACCCGACGGTGTCGGGATTTTGATAGGGCCCCACATATCCGTGTGGACGCGCGCAAGAGGCGCGGTCGCACGTGGGGTAATCGAGTCCTTGGGAAATGGCAAGCGCTTGGACTTGGCTTGGATGCACACATCGCAGCTGTGCGACGGCATCCGTCCGGTGCCACGAAACGATTCCAACTCGGGATGGTCGCGAATCAAGGTACGCATGGCTGCGTCACCAATGTGGCCAAGTCTGCGATGCAGAGGCTTCAAAACACGAAATGTGGCAAGAGCACTATGATTTATTTCGGCACTGGGGTCGTTGACCGCAGCCAGACTAATGTAGTCTTGGACGCTACTGGGCGCCGCCGGGGTGTCGTGATCACCCTGAGAACCTAGAGGTAGGTCAGAGATGTCCGTAGGAGAAGGTTCATCGTACATGTCCGCAAGGAAAGGAACAGTAGATGCTTCAGGACCATTCCAGAGAGCGTGTCCATTGCGAAAGCCATGGAGCTCGTCGGAGAAGCGCTGCGTCGTAGAAGCAGCAAGACCATGCTGGATGCTCTGGGCAACCGCAAGGATAGCACGATGGCCGTGGTACGGCGTCGACGTGGTAGTATCGTCGACAATGGCCGAGACGAGCCCAGGGCACGGCGAGCATGGGAACGCATAAAGACGCGTCGAGCTCGAGCGCGGCGCCTCGATGGCTTGGCCCGTGGGGCTGTCCAAGAGAATGAGGTGGCTGAGCACCTCCGATCCAAAATCGGGTTTGAGACGGTCGAGGAAGGCCGCGCCGACCGAGAACAAGTTGAACTTGAGCTCGGGTACGTAGAGTACTTGACGCAGCGTCACTTCTCGCGACGTCGTAGCACCAGTGCTATCGACGACCACGACCGTAAACTTGACCATGCCAACACCGCGGACACGAAGTCCGTGGTTGTCACCCACGCGGAGGAGCGACTCATGAGGCAAGAACTGGACAAACCAGTCGGCATGTGGTGTACTGTGCGCAGATGCGCCACTGTCAATGATCCACTTCCGGTCATACAAGACGTGCGGCGTCGTCACGCGAGACGTCGCAGTCGAGAGCAGGCCATACTCATTGCCGATACGTTGGATGACCAGCGGAGAAATCTCGACGCCTTCACAACGCGTCGGGCCATCAAGCGGCGATGGCACCGAAAACAGCAGCCAATCGAGCGATGGGAGCTCGTGCGCGAGCGGCAGCAAAGGGCCACTTTGAAGCTCATGCGTCACATGCGCAGGGTTCCGATGCGGCGAGCGCGTCCACGGGTGGAGCGTCACATCAGAGTCCGCAGAGCTCACACTTGACAAAGCGGTTAGATCGGCGCGCTCGACCGAGGTCGAGGCAGGTGGCAAGGTCGGTGTCGAAGCAGCGACAGGCACCGCAGTAGCGGGCACTTGCGACGAAGGAGCCTCCCCGAAAGTGGAGTTTCCCGTCGACGCAGAAACCACAGGAGCCGTGCGCTGGTGGGACGTAGCACCAAGCGAGGCAACCGACGTCGTGGACGTCGCGGGCTGAGAAGCCAGAGTGGGTAAAGTTTGTGTCATTTCAGACATGACCGGAGATCGAGGCTCGACAGTCTGCGCTGTTGTAGTGGGCGTAGAAGCAACCACAAGCGCTGTCGCGGAGAGCGACTCTCGAGTCTGGCTCGAGGAGGAAGAAGAAACAGCGAACGCTGTCGAACGAGTCATATTATTGTTACCGTTGCCGGGCGCGTCAGAGTGACCGACATTGCGTCCAGCGACGGAATCGCGCGCGCGCGACGAGCTGCGACGCTGCTGAGAGCGCGAGCGACGATCGCGGCGGCCTTCGCGACGATTGTCGCGGCGAACCTTGCGCGAGCGATCAGAGCGCGAGTCGTCCGAGGAAGTATCGGAATCGACCTTGCGGCGGCGCGCCCGGCGCTTGCCACGAGGACGATCGGAACCGCTGCTGGACCGCTCCTTGCGCTTCTGCGTACCGTCCCGCTTGGGGTACGGCGCTTGCAGGCGGACACGCTGCAAGGTTGCGAGCGCCGGAGGGAGTTTGAAATCCCTAGGCACGGGGTTGTTGGAAAATGCGCGCGCCAAAAGGCGGCAGCGGTCGGTAGAATGAGGAAGGCGTTCGCCGAAAGCAAACCAGCAGTAGCGACAAGTCGCACTACCAGAAGTTGCCTGCGATTGCTGGCCTTGTCGCGGCGCACGCGTAGAGCGCTGACGGTGGGCGCCGTCCAAACGAGCGTACCTCGACCCATCGGGTTCCGAGCTGCTACTGGACGAGCTCGTGCTCGAAAAAGGCGTATGAGGGCTCATAACCTAACAAACTAGCAGCTGGGCTAGTGGAGCACACAACAGAGGAGAGAGGAAGAGGAAGAAGGATGGACCACACAAAGGCGCACGGAGACGTGCGC